GGAATAGATGGAAGATAGCGCGGAAGACTGGGCGGTTCTCAAGGTAGTCGTTCTTGAGCGGGAGACTGCCGATCAACACAGGAAGAACCTGATCCAGAGGGACGGCAGCGGTGTTGCGAATGATGAGACGGGCAACAGCACCAGCAGCATTGTCCTTTGCATTGACTTTCGCTGAAGGGTCAGTGGGCGAGACGTTGAACAGGAGGCGGAGGGCACTGAGGACATGCATATATTGCGGCGAAAGGTCGATTTCAGAGTGTTCAACGAGAAGACCGATGGCAAAGCATGCATTGCTCTGGACCTCCGGGTCCGGGTCGCTGAGCGCGCGGTAGAACAGATCCATCAGAGGTTCTGTCGAGGGCGTGACAGAGGCTTTCATGCCAGCAATGATCTCTGCGAGACAACCGATAGCAGACGAGCGGTCGCTCATCGACCGGTTCTTCTTCTACAAACGAAGTACAGTCAGTACCTGCACAGGTGCTAGAAAGAACTCGAACTGACGTAGTATTTCGAGATAAGAGGGAAGAAGGTATTGAATGCCTGCGCGAAGTCGTTCCCTAATGCATTCGCAAGCGAAGATACCAAGTCGCCTGCAGAGGAAATGAGCACTGAATCGTATTCGGCTTGATCTTCGGGTGCCTCCTCGGTTTCATCCTGATCAGGATCCTGTTGGCAAAGTGCCTTTTGCTCAAGGACCTGTACCGCGATGCTGCAGATGACATCGAGATCTCCACCAAATGTCAGCATCAACAAAAAAGTGCTGATGATTCGACTCACGGCCTTCAATAAATGCCGGTCCAATCTTGTTGATGGTCTCGGCAAGACCAAGACATAACGATGCCACAACGGTCCTGTAATAGTTTGGTCAGTAAGAGTACACGACTGAACATAAATTGACTGACTTGTGATCCTCAGTTTCATACATCTCAAGTAAGGGCTTCAAGCTGTGCCCAATGAGCTCTTTCACGCTCTGTTCCAGAGGGACAGTCTGGACGCTGCGTTGGCATCATGCTCAGACATAATAAGTACAACTCACCACTGTCGCACCAGGGGTCCAGTCTGGCGCGCCGCTCAGTTCGTAGAATGTCCTGACTATCTCCAACAAAGAGTCCGTTGCGGACTTGCGAATACCCTCATAATAGTGCGTGAGCAAGTTGACGAGCTCGAGAGCACAAGGCTCGACAAAAGGGAAGAAATGGTTGCGCGTTGCAGCGAAGAGCGTTCCAATCGTGTCTGCAGCAATTTCCTTTTCGACTGCAATCGCGCTATTGACTTCGAGCATCTTGTCGAGGTCAACGTCTTCGATCTCAAGTTGGGAGTTCCCATTGACATCGATGTCATCCGTGATGGAGATCGCGTTTGTAGGAGAGGACCCAGATGCGAATGCAACAGCAGCGTCGGTGTTAGAAACTAGAAAAAAATCCATCAGAAAACTATTCGTCCAAAAAGGACGGACAAGCATACATGTAGCAACATTATCCTCGCCATGTTCAGCTTGCTTGCAGCTCTGCAACAACGGAGGTACAACGCTGGGTAGGTACGGCGCAAATTCCTCACCAAATACCCTAGCCATCACGCCAAAGAATAGGAAACTGCACTCCCGAAGACGTGCGCTGCCCATCTCAATGCCCTGGAATGCTTGTTTCATCATATCCGCGAAGTATGGACGGAAGACATCAACGCCGACAGCCTCTGCGAATGTTCCAACAGCATCCATAGCAATCCCACGGAGCTCAGTCTCCTCGCCTTCACCAGTGAGGACAAGGAAATGTTGTAATCTGTTCATGGTCGGCTGGAAGTAAGGGAGGAACTTCTCTTTTGATGCGTGTGCCGCACTACCGAGTGCTCCAGTGACCACAGTCTTGACAGTGATAGGTGCAGTGTCAAGCAGGCCAGCAAGTTGCTCCATGATAAGCTGAAGGTATTGTTCAATGACATCCTGCGAGATCTCAAGCAGTGCATCAAGAGCAGTGCAAGCCGCACGCTGAGTCTCAGGATCGTGCACCAGGCTCATGATCACCTAAAAAGCGTGCATACATCTTAGCATGGGTATCAAGTTGCAACCAACACTTCCGTGCTCACAGGAACAAGAACAGCATGCTTCGCAATACACTCTTCCTCCAGCCACTCGCACAAACAGCTGACAGCGACACATGTCGCCTTCCTGACCGACTTGTCACCGTCGTGGAGACCAGCCTCAATAACAGGCCAAATGTGGCTCATCAAAGGTGTCATGAACTCGCTGCAGCCCTCCACGGCGACGCCAAGCGCAAGCATTGCACCACGGCGATTGTTCGCGTCAGGAGAAGAGAAGTACTGAGAGATGAGTGTTCGGAGGGCAGGGAAGACTTGGGTGGGGGGAAGGTTCGTGGCGAGGCCGTCGATAATACGAAGAGCAGACTAGAATAACGATTATCAGATCTAGTCATTTTCGGCTAGTAGTCAAAGTTACGTACACGGCAAGGAGCGTCGTCGTCTGAATCTGTGGGTTCAGGTTCGGTGGTAATAGGCATAAGGCCCTCCAAAATGGCTCCAGCGAGGGCCTGACTTTGGATCCTGGATTTTTTGCTAGAAAGACGACATGAATTCATTCATGTAATGGACTCGAACATGATCTTACTATTGAACAGTCCAGTTAAGGGCGTTGAGGGCCAAAATACGGATTTCAGAGTCGAGATTGCGGTTTCCACCAGCTTGAAGGAGGAACGATGCTAGCTCCGCAATGTGAGGGCCCAGGATTGGTACTTCCTGCAGGACGTCTCGCAGATAAGTCCAAGTCAAGAAAAACTGAAATCAAAACGCACGAGGATGAGAAGAGTCTCGAATACATCAAATAGTTGACGAGCACCAGCCTCATCCCCAGATTCGATGGATTGCCCGAGAATTCGGATCATACCAGGGAGAAGTGCTTGGAAGGATTTCTGGAGCATGCAGTAAGAAAATTTGATTAGAGAAAGAAAAATAATTTGCACGTACGATGTCAGCCTTATCATCAGAGTCAATATACTGGGCAATGACGCCCAAAGCCCTTGAGGCAGGGTTAGTTTACCACCTACGATTAGTCAAAGAGCTAGGCGCACCGAACAGTCGTAATACGAACTTCGATACTCTCAGGATCATTGAGGAGACCTTCAAAGAGTTTAAAAAAGCTTTGCAAATGCTCCTGGAATCCTTCCACGATGCTCTCGAGAACAGTGAACAAAATGAAGATGGCGACTTCACGATGCGCGACTTGCGTTGATGTACATGACTGGTGTAACCACGGAAGGAGTTGTGGCCATGTTCCAGCTGTGAGTTCGATGCTAGCAGCAGCAGCGATGACACGTGCAGCAGAGTGTCGGACGAGCTTGCTGCAGCATCAAAAAAAAAATGAGGAGCAAACTTTGAAAGAGAAGAAATAGACTAACTCTTGTTCAGCAAGTATCAATATGGGAAGCTGGTCTTTGATCTGCGAACGAACATCTTGAGGGAGTTGCATCCATAGATCGCCACTCTTTTGAGAAACACGCTTCCGCATCTCGACTGCAGCCAGTTGGCGAACCTAACAGATTCACGTGCACATAGCCAATAACAATGAGGAATGACCAAAAAGACACCGATATGATGTATGCTCACCGCGATTTCCGGTGAACTGGCGAGTATTTGTGCGAGTGCAGATATGCATGCCGGATTTTTGTAGTATTCTGTGTTAAGCTGAGCTGTTGCCTGATACACACAAGAAGTCAGGAAACACATTTAAAAACGCGTCTGATGGATCGATCTCACAGCTTTAAGCTGGTTGGTATCGTTTGAAGTGGACTGCAGTAATAGATTGTGCAGCCCCTGCACGAAATTCGGCTGTTGAAAACGGGCAATAGAACAAAAAGTAATCAGATCGGACTCGAAAGTAAGTATTCAGGTATTTATCTGCACGTACATCCATCTTTAAAAGTCGTGAATGAGGATGAGGAAGAGGGTGAGGGGATAGATGATTGGTCTGATCCAATGTTCCCTAATCTAAAAACTTGGCGGAGTTCAGAAAAATTTGCCACGGATCATCATGCATCATGTCTAGTCAATTATCCGAAGCTACTATAAAAAAGCTGATTGGACATATCATGCATTGCTCTTATCCGTACTATGATATCGATGACCGCAATATGATGCGCACGCCACGGGCCTTCAGTTCCCATCAACCTTTCTTATTGTTGTCATTGTCCAACGTGACTGGTCAATGAAATATCGATGACCACGGTCAAAGTTGTAGTTGTCAATCGTATCAAACCTCAAGGAGACTAGACCAGTTTTCGAAACAAAAGCACGCCTCGATCAGATATGTCTGTATGAACCGACTCCGAGGACAAACAAACCAGGCCCATCGATCTCACGAGCAGAATTTTCACTCTTCATTTCATCATCTCTGCATCGATTATCTATCTGCGGTTTGTTTCCACCACGTTGTGTGCCGTGCGTGCGGTCATGGTTTGCTGCAGATCCAGTGCTCCTCATCTTGTGTGTCACTGAACCCTACCACAGAGATGGCAGAATTTATTCAATGGATGCATGAGCATTGACCAGTCGTATTCACAAAGGTACCACGTATCAGGCGCGCATTAAACAACGAACGTCTGTGGGTCACCATCGACATCTCCAAACGCAGGCAATCGCTTCTCAAAGCAGCTACTCTACCTGTTACTGGGATTTGAAAGCACCGACGCCTCATCACTATCATCCTGCCTTCTGCATCGATGCGTTGCGCCCGAGGTGTGTCTGAGCTTTGCATACCTGCCTTTCCTGACAATGCACACTCATGATAACTAGGAAGTTACCAATCTGCTTGGTCTTCTTGAGTGGGTTAACGCGTCCACTCGACCTTGCAATATTGAATTTATATGTTGTTGTTTTTTTCGCGAGATTTAGTTTGTGCAAGACCAATTACTTCTCGGAATGCATCATTCGCAGAAAATGAGATTCAGAAACTAAGTACGAGCTGCAGATATCTAATACTCGTCATCGTACATATACGAAAATATGGAAACATCGTTAAATGATATATATCATAGATGAAAAAATGCTTCCAAACTGCAAAAGAAACAAGGCAAATCGTGTCTACAAGTTACAAAAGAAATGGGCAGTTCAACGTCTGCTGAGTACATATCGATAAAAGAAGACGCGTCCATAAGTCACAGGCAGTCCATGATCTGCGAAGTAGATACCGGTAGGAGAAATACAAAGACAAAGAAATAAATCGAGGGCCATTTACACGATGGCGAAGACAAGGGAAGAGACTTGAGATAGACGTATGTGCGAGCCGCGGACGGTGGCCTTCAACTCCAAGTCGCGTGAGACAAGAAGGAGGCGGTTATGCGGTTGCGGTTGTGTCGGGATTGGTCGTAGGGGACGTCCGACGTCGAAGACTGCAGGTATAACCGGGCGGCGCGAAGACATAGTTTGTACGCGGCCAGTGGTGGCCTTCAACCTCGCGGGCATGAAGCTCCAGGTCGTAGGGGACAGCGAGGGAGGCCGTTGCAGATCTTCGGTATTTGGTCGTAGGGGACCTCGGGAGTAGAATTGTGGGTGAAGGTGTCGGTCTTGAATAATTTCGATCGAATTTCCTGAGTCGGGCGTCTTCTGATCCAGAAGCAGTGGTGCAGGCGACAGCATAGAGGGGAGTCCAAGCTGGGCCATGGCAGCTGCCCAGCCATCGACCAGAGCGGTTTGGTCGGCGAGGAGATCGTCATGTAGTTGTTCAAGGTCATCTACTTTAAATCAACAAATGATGCGAACGTCACCGGAAATCACTCACCGATCACAGTAGCGTGTTCTAGTTGCTTGGAGTGGGTGCGTTCGATGCTGCCACGGACAGCGGCCAAGCGAGTAGATCTAGATTCGCACTGACAAATGATGGTGAGTGCGGCACTTGGCTTCACAATAAACACGTTCATACCTTGTGCCTTGCCGGGCGGAAATTTTGATGCCGTTTCGTATCCGGGGGTTTCAGTCGAGGCGTGATCGTTTGAGTGGAAGCGTCCACAAGAAGCGAAATGTCGGTGGTCGTCAGATGTCCATCCTCTAGGATATTTGGCTGGAGTTGCGTCCCAGGCCGTTGAAAGGGTCCACTCGAGTTATTGATCGTTAGTGCTTTCGTCCATGGGAGTAGGTCGCTACTGGAGCAGTCGCTGTCGTCCTATAAAAATTCAAAAATTGAGCGATAAAGATAGGCAAACTGTGCGACTTCATACCTGGGGGATAGTACTTTCACGAAGGTCCGCATCAAAGAAACCCTTCACGAAGTCGTCATCGTGGTCAACAAGGGTGGTGCCGGAATCGATTGAGAGGCGCTTGGTATTTTGAACCGGCGAAGTTGGCAGGATTGGCGTGCATATTGCGGAACATGTAGTAGATGGCGAAGTGCAGGAGTCATTTGCGATTGAATTCAGTGAAATTGTTAAGTCTGGCGGAGTGCTACGAGGTTCGGTTGCAATTGATATGGATGGCGGAATGCTGCAAGGTTCGGTTGCAATTGGATTGGATAAAATTGAGTCTGCTGCAGTAGAGAAATCGGACACTTTGTTGCAAATGAGAGGTGCGTTGAGCTCGGCTAAATTGTGCTTCGGAGGGGGTTGACCATCTTTACTGAGGAGTATCCGGGCGGTCTCGTTGGAAGCTAGAACTAGTACCGCGACAGAAATACAGAATTCGGATATGACCAGGCCAGCGGTGACGTTCTCCGCTTCTTTGATGGCCTTGGACGTCCGATCCACCACAGTGTGTTTGAAAAAGAATGCTCCGAGGCACCCAGCGACGGTGACATGGGCGGCACCATCGAAGATAGCGGAAATCATATTGTAAGGCGAGTTGAAGTTGAGAATGAGTAGTGAAGAAGGTAATGCACGTAAATCGAGGACCAGAAATGGGAGGCATATCTCGCGGGCACGCTGTATTTATACTCTGCTCACCAGTAAATCAGCACTGCCACGAAATAAACAAACTCGATCGCGACGCGCCTAGTCACGTGTATGAAAAATCAGTTTATGTCAGCACTACCACGCTGGGTCCACGCATACTACCTTCTACTATCATCGATATTGTAACATGCCAAGACGATCAACGCTGCAGCCTGCAGGTGCATGGAATAGCCTATTTGTAGAGATAGGATGATCACTTCTTGTGAGTGTCTGTGTATCGATAGCAAAAGGTAGCTGATAAACCACTGTTAGCGCCAGTGCCAGTGGCAGATCAAGGGGTGGATCCCACAGTGCATAACTCCTCTATTCAAATCATCATTCAGACGTTCAAGGATCCGAGTCGATTGGTGATCGGCTAGTCGCCACCGGTCTTGCCACTGAGTATAATCCTATCGGACAGGCGGTCTCAGACTCTCAGGTCTGTAAAGGTTCGACTATTTTGCAACCATAGATCTCATCAGGTTCTATCCACAGCCCTATCTTCGTCATTCAGTCATATCATCGATCTTATGAAACCTGAGATGCTCGAGACGTACTCCAACCTTGGATGTCCGAATCTCGGTCTTATCTACTCACGGGTATTGGTCCGAGGACTGTTTCGCCGTGAGGCAATCCCCGAACAATACCCATCAGTAGAACGCTCCACTTTCCATCTAACCAATATCTGCGAGTCATTGATTTTTCTAAGGAACAACTGTCTTCAATTCTATGGTCTGGCTAGAGGGGACTAACATTGATCACACACTTCAGTGGACAACAAATCTTATGCAGCGACTAGCACCACCAATACTGATACAGATATTGTAAGCAGTATAACTACATAGTAACAGTTTATATACCATATTATTTCAAAACACAACGAAAAAAATGTATCAATGAACCTCATCCAGTGAGGCCGCCCTGCGCGCCAGTGGCAGCAATGCGAGCTAAAGCATCAGCATTTGTGGTGCAGGTGATCGACGTTCCAGCAGAGTTGACGAGAGGAAGGGCAGCGCAAATGAGACCAGACCCACAAGATTGAGTCACATACGTGCCCCCTACGCACTGCGCAAAAGCGCTATCGACGCATGCATTTGTACCCTCTGCATAGAATGTTAGAGAATGACATGCTGCTTGAGTGAGGCCGACTCACCAGTGCAGAGAGAGGTAGCAGTTAGCGTAGCAAACTGCGCATTGAGCTTCTGAGCATCCTGACCGTTAGCGAGCTTGAAGTTTCCACTAGTGCTTGAGGGCATTGCGGATGCGACAGCGGCGATAGAAGCAGTAGGTATGGACTCGGTTGGATCCTCCTCGCAGTCAGAATCCGAAGAACCAGACGAAGGTATGGCGGAAGAAGTGGCCACTGTTGAGGTGCTATTGCTTCCACCAGTAGTCTTATTAGAGGCAGTTGTGCCACCGACACCGGGATTCTGGGTGAGATCCACCAGTTGTGTGCCATCAGCGATGGGACCGGTGGGGTTTGCGGGGCAAGAACCAGCCGGGTTGACATGTGCGCTCATACCGAAAGGGATGGTCCCGTTACCGCCAACGGCAATACCACCGACAAAGGTCGTTGGGTTATCACCCTGGAACTGACACTGGAAGAGCCCATTGAGCTCAGCATTGCGCGGGGCTGACTGGCAATAGGGCACGCTCTGTGATGTAGGCTGTGTGCACAGAATTCTGTAAGTGACGAAAAAATGGGCTGGGAAAAATACGAACAGAATTCCGAGGCTGCTGGGCAAAAATCTGAGCAAAAGTAATCATGTCTGCATTGTTACTGAGAGTCTTTGCGAGGTCAATCATGTTGTCAGCGGCATTCTGCTGCTCGCATGGACCTGGAGCAGCAAGAAGAGTGCCGAAGGACGCGACAGCAACTTGGTTGCATTGGGCACCTCCACCAGCAGCATCCTGGAACGACATTATGAGATACGACGGACCAAGCCATCTGCAGGAACTTACGCATGCTGCCTCCCACTTGGTAGTTGAGTCAGCGATGACCTGCGCAATGCGCTTATGGACTGGAGCACCGTGCACAGAGGCAGCAGTGGCAAGAGCGAATGAAACGAGAGTAGTGAATTGCATCGTAACCAAAGGCGTTAGAATTTTCGTTGGAGAAAACCGTCCAGGTTTTAACAGCAGCACAGCTGAGAATCAGTATAGAACGAAGTAAGTTAAAAAGAGTATCGCAAACGATGGAAAGGTGCAAGCACAGCTCGCTACAGCCAGGAAGACGAGAACGGAGAGAGCAACTATGAATCAGCGTTGAACGTCAAAATTCGGTTGCTAGAAGAGTAAATCATGTGCTTTATACTACCCCGGAGATCAATTTTTGTGTTGCCAAACCTGGAACGAGAACAAAGAGTTTGCCACGTGCACCCTTCATCAACTGTTTACCGTACCGGTCGCTACACAGAGGAACAAAGACCGTTATCCGCAAAACTGTGGTTATTGTTGAGGGAAGATGGACGATTGCCACATGATGGTGATGGCATCACGGAACTTGTTACTTGCCCTATCAGGCTGGTACTAGTCACGTTCCTTTCATGAACCACTGATCAGAGAACCTGTGAGAAGAAGATATCATCATATATCGTAATATATCGTAATATATAGGAAAGGTTTTCGTCACATTGTAATATAAAGTGATATAAAGCAATATATGACCATGTAAAAGCACCATAATCAGCATAATCCCCAGCAAGAACTCACCGGTTTACTGATGCGCCCGCCCGCCCAACGTAGGCAATACTTTTCACAGATTCGCATTGCAGTATCACACCCGTATGCTGCCAGATGCACCACCGATATGATTGCAGCCCCGTCATCGTAGCCACAAACAGCATCTCTACGACTTGACCCGACCTACTCCGACCGCGGCGATGATGCAGTAATGTCGTTCCAGATTGTAACTACTGACACCGGGCTCCATTTTCTAAAAGCTGACCGTAAATCCATGGCAGCAGGAATCTAGGGGTAGCTCGCAGGCTCCCGAACCATCCTTAAATTATGGATTGCCTCCTGTCATACTTGCCACGTCGCCCCGTCCCGTACGCGCAGCGCTCCACCCGTTTGTTTGCACAGTCGCCTCCGCGCTTCGACCCCCACCATGACATCACAATATTAATGATGTTTGCCCCTCATCTGAACACCCCACCAACCATCTCAGAGAGTCAGCTCGTGACTGCGTCATGCGCCACAAAGTTCGCAGGAGTGGCAGCAGAAGCAGATGTGACGTAAATTTATACTTCCAATATCATCTATCGTTCCTGACTAGTATGACAGCACACTGTCCAAGGTATTCAAGACTTGTACACTAACAAAATACTGGCCTAGTTGACTTGCATTGAAAGAACGATGGCCCACCATTGGGCGCGTTCATTGCAAATTCGCGCGGAATGATGTGGCACCCATCTATGGCATGGAGTATGACCCCTCATATCAATGTGCACGAGAAGGTCGATGAGCGCCTATATGTCATATTTTTATCAACTAGATTTCGGCCCTGCAGGAAAATTTCCCTGAATATTACAATCTTCCAAATGGTGCAATTATAGTATGACTCGCTCTTAGCGCTTGATGCTAGCAATTTTTGATTCAGAATATCATCATCCTCGGCAAGGATGGTGTTGTCGTCCACGATGATACAGATGAAGGGTGGGTACATAGCCCGAAGCGTTGGGACTTCTACACTATCAAGATATTATCTTACCAAACTCAGCGGTGATGAGCGTTGTGCAGGGGATGGCTATCGCTCTCACAATTTTTCGTGTCTCGTTCCGACTACACATAAGGAGATTTTGGTGGGAGGACGCATGGGCTGCTACGGCCGGATCGTGTGGCATAGCGTATCTGGTTGGTTCCTGGATTCATCTACTCTCTCGTGCGTATTTTATCATTCGTTGATCTCGCTGTGTTGCTCACATGAATGGACTTGATGTAGGAGGAACATCTGCATCTGTAGTTTCTTTTTGGGTGACAACGCTCATGTCCACCTGCATAAATTGGTGAGATCCTGTTCCTCCTCACTTTGGTCTAGGAAAACAAACAGACTTGAAGGTTTGCACGCATAAGCATATTGTTTGCCATCGCACGGGTTGCACGATCCACGCAGCGTCTTTATCGTTTGTCCATGGGCCTCGCGATTCTCTTCTTCCTGACGGAGGGAGTTCTAATGGCGCAAAAGGTACGGGAAATTGAATCGAACAGTGAGTGGTACCAGTTGCCTTGTCCTTCGTGCCACGTCGGCCATTCGATGGCAGCGTACCAACTCGCAAGTAGGCCTCGCACCACCTCTCACTCCATCCTATGCTCATCATATTCAATCAGGCAAGTTTGTCGCTGACACTATTCTGGTGGTCTTTTCCTTCCGATTGCTCTGGAACGTCAACCTGCCCTCTCGACAGCGGCAGATGATTCTCGCGATATTTTCATCCAGCATTATCATGACCATGTTCTCCCTATTCCATGCTGTCACCAATTTTCTAGTTGATATATGGATAGAGATGATTGCAGTCAATTTAGAGGTGGAGTCGTTCCTTCATCTCATCCATTCAAAATTTAAATGCCTGTGTCTAGGTATCATCTTCCCTGATAATTTGCAACCTGCTGGTGGTTGTGACTTATGCATACCGGGTGCTTAACCGTGAACCTGACGATCCGGAAGATGGCGACTATAGCGGTCCAATTTCACCTGTCCCCACATCGCAACAGCTCACCACTATTACCCTCGGCTTTGTCACTGAGACTTCCACTTCTTTCCACTCCCTCGATTCACCAGCAGCCTTCGTCCCGGATCGCAAGGAGGACATGCGATCTGTTTGATCCAATAAGTACCAGTGATCATGATCTACAATTACATGCGCTGGAACTCTGAGATAACTATCCCCCCTTCTTCACCATCTAATTTCGGCTAAAATTAAATGCGAAACAGCTCCCACCCCGGATCTTCATACATTGGCTGTATTCAGTTTTTCCTGCGCACTTTGTCTGGACACTCAATTCATTGAACACTATACTGGAACCCCTGTAACCTCAGGGAGGCATCGCGATCATAGGCCTTTCATGCGTTCCCACCACCAGCACATGAGTCGCTGTGTATAGTGACACACGCTTTCCCTTGTGTCTCCTGCAGTATTACTCATTCTCAAGATGAAATACTCCATTCTCCTTGCCTTGGCTTCCCCCGCGCTGGATCGTCGCTTCCTCATAAGTTCAACTTTTCGATACATTTGATAGCGGCTGGCTTGGATAAGCGAAGCTCAAGTCAGAGCGTCGCGAGGCAGACCACGTTCTTAGCTCCCGCTGCAGTCAGCGTCTCCTAAGTTAGGTTAAGAGTCTGCTGGCTAGAGAAAGGGGAACGCTAGGATGGCGGGGACACCTGCGAAAGTTTTTGTCAGGGGGCTACTCAGGTAGGATAATAATATTGAGCCTGTGATATACCTAGTGGGAATACAATGTCGCATGACTGCAACCGACCTACCAGCTGCGTCGAGTGACCCTGAACTCCACTTGTGGTCGTTTCCGAACCGAACCGGGAATTGGTGTTTCCGATGGGGGTGTCCAGGGGACTCCTTGTGTGTTATCCCCATCATGCCATGCCGCTTCTGTTGCCAAGCTAAAGCTTGTGGCAATGCTTCCACGCTTTACAAGCTGCCCTCGACATGCAGTTACCTGCGAGTGATTAGCAGGCAGTACACGGTACAAGATAAGGCCTACTTACTGCCGTCGGGGCGTTGTCTTGTATCATCATCAATCGATAATGCAAACGAGCTACTACCCAACCCCAATTATGATCTCCGCGAACGGGCATTACCCACCTAGAAGTCCTCCGCCTAATGGATTATTGCGCAGGTTGACCCATACACCAAGATCCTCCGTGGACAGGCACTCGCAAATTGCAACCTCTGCAGAAGGTAATGCACTTGCTGAAGCTTCAAAACACACGGATTTGTGGTTTTGTGATGGTTCGGTGCGTATAATGACTGCCTGTGATCCAGCGCAGACTGAGGCCACAATTGGGCTTTGATAGATCATTTTGAGAGCAGAAGACACCTTATTTCGTGTGCACAAGTCTCAGCTTGCTCGCCACTCGGCGTTCTTCCGCGATCTCTTCTCATTGCCACAACCCAGTGCGGAATCTGCGGATAGTACAACGTCTTCTTCTCCGACCGTGGTTGTCAACAACAACCCTGCACTACAAATAGATACGACCAATGAAGTAGAAGGGTGTCCTGTTCTACGATTGCACGACACATCAGAGGACGTTGAGAATCTCCTCACGGCACTTTATGATGGCCCGTAGGTCTCGTATAGTGCGCTGCATTTTCATGTGACGAATTTTGTACAGAAACTTTGGGAAGAATGACCCTACCGATTTCCGCATGGTTTCGGGGATACTTCGACTTGCGACCAAGTACCTTGTCGATTCGTTGAGAACCAAAGCTCTTGTTCATTTAAGCAAGGCTTGGCCGACTTCACTCAAGGGATGGGATGCTAGAGAGGACGTCACTCGTGATGATGAAATGCAAAGTGGTCCTGGAATGTCCAATATATACCCTTCCCCCGCAGTAGGCTGCTTCTCTTCACATTTGATACGACATGGCTCATTCGCATTCAGGACGTTATTATTCTCGCACGAGAAGTCAATGCGTCAAGTCTCCTGCCTTCTGCATTCTATGACTTATCACGATACCACTATACCCAACTCTTCGAGCAGGACGACGAGAGTGGCCCTTCTATTGCACAACTGCCGCTATCAAATGCAGACCTGCAAAGGTTAGCTTTGGGGAAAGAGGCATCGCAACACGCGATCACAACTCTCATTCGCTCCATGGGATCGCATTCTCATCCGCTTCTTTTGGGGCATCACGCACACTCGCATCGCTCATGCAGAAGAGATTTCTCGGAACTTGTGGCACTGGCCACTCAGCACTATCTCTTTGATCGCGAGCGTGGTTGCACTGATCCTTTGTATGTTGCGGAGGAGCTTGGGCAGCCATTGTATGATTTTGGTCAGGCTTCGAGCGTTGATGACGCGCGGCTTGGGGAGTCTCGCCGCAGTGTAGAAGTATCCGAGTGCGAGGCGTGCGCGAGAGCGCTGGGGATTTGGACTACGAGGGAGAGAGAAAGGATGTGGAAGATGATACCGCTTTGGTTCCGACTGGACGTTTAATGTTCTGCATGAATTGTCTAGATTGTATTGACATGACCATCATCTCATGCCTAGTATACGACTTATTTATCTTGTTTTTCCATGAAGGGCCACCTTGGAGTGTCGAGACAAGGTTGCCTGGAGCTCAACGTCAACTGCTATTCCAGAAGTGTCCGAACGGGATGAGATCCATCCGCAAGACGAGGCTAGATATATTTGGAACTTGCCGTGTGCATGAACACATTCACATCATCATCTTCTACACGATCTCCACGAAGCTATTCCCACAAAATAAACACCGATGTACAGCCTCCAACAAATCCCTCACGATCCAACTCTGTGCAGCGACAGGCAACTGGCTCTCATCCGACGTTGCAAGCGGAAGCAGGGCCTTCCGACTGCATCCGATGCACGTGCGCACCTTTGAGGTCGAGAGTATGAACGAGGTGACCGTACAGCGAGCTAAATATGAAAGAGAACTTGAGATGGGCTTTTCCAGCTTCGTAAAAGAGGAAAGCATACCCCAGGCATGGCCATTTGGACAAGTTGCGCGGGTGATGTCATGCAGTGGGACTTCGGTGTGGCAAGCGGGACAGTGTTCATGCAGCGCGGCAATTGCAGGATCGATGGAGAATGACGCAGTGAGAGCATCTGATAAAGCTTGAGCTTCATCTGATAGATCTTGTGGCGAACCAGGCAGTAATGACTGTACTACCTCACGGAGAACAAATGGGATATCAGGCGCTGTGACAAGTGCTCAGCGAATAAGAAGAGAAAGCGGACTATCGGCGCACTAGTAATGACGGGGATGATGGCTCTCAAGTGACGAACCAGTACCCGCAGCACGCAGTGTGAGATGGCGGCAAGCAGGCGTTGTGCGACTTGGCCGCACTGTGCTTGCATCTCCGGGTCCTTGCATAGTTTCTGTGAACAAAATACTGTAAGTGTACCAGATTGGACGCTCGTAACTCGCGCACCCAACATAGGTCGGCTATGGAGAGCCTCATTCGAAGCGATAGGAGATTGGGCCAGCCGAACAAATGGGTAGTCAGGCTTTTCCGAAGCTGGGGTCGCAAGTCATCGTTCGATCCTTGCGTCCAGGATGGCAAGACTATGGCCGTTGTTTGATCTGGTGGTACTTGCGATAAAATCTCCAGCACCTGAGGGCACACCGCCGCGAAGCGCGCATTACTGCGTAGATGAAGCATCAGTGCACGCAAATGGTGAATGGGGGCACTTCCTGAGGCTTCACCATCTAAGTATCGAATGACTAGTGACAAGTTGAGTGTTCGACTCACCACAAGAGATATCAGCAAAAGCCTCTGAAGCGGTGTGCAAGACGGTCTCATCGTCGAGCTGCCAAAATGGTGCAGTGAGTAGCATACATTCATGCTGAGCTTCATTCTTGTAGCCAAAATCTGCAGGTCGAAGGGCTCTGGAAAAACAAACGGATCCGTGGGTGATTGTAAATTATATCATTGATGTCACTTACTCGTATATCCAGATGAGGGTCGACTGCGAGTCGTACGACATCATTCCACCAATCCTGTTGACATCCAAGTTAGAAATCCCCGCAGGAGTAACTTTGGCAAACAACGTCCGTGTTGTGCGAGATAGTTCCGTAGAGGTGAGGATGTCGCCTGCAAGCGGAGGACTCCAGGTAGGTTCCACGGTCATATTATGGATGACATGTAAGGAACCATCGAAAAGTGAAAGAATGAGTGCGTCGCGGTGAAGCACGTAGGATACTCCAGAGACAGGGCTAATGGCAGAGGATCCGATGGACATCTTTTGGGTTTGTAATGGGAATGCGCGAGTGCCGTTCCAAGCCGGTTCAGAACCGGGCCATGACCACAGGTACACAAGGCCGGGTTTTGTGTACACGAGGATCGGCTGGAAAATACGATCAGAGCCAGGTAAGATCGGAGAAAAAAAGGTCAAAGAGTACGTTTCTTCCTGGTGGTTGAACCCATGTTAATGCGGTCACGCCTCGTTTATCAGCCTCGCAAATTGGACCTTGGACGTCGAATACAGCACTGGTTGTGTACTCAGGCACAAAACCAACGTTCGAAGTAGACTGTAGATTTTGCGTGACTTTTACTAGTCCGACGTTGCCATTATCAGTGGAGAAGGCCAGTAGGGATTCGCCTTCGCCAAAATAAAGATCCTGTTCATATGACAGACACGAGAAAGCTTACAATGACCGACAGCGTGAGTAATCCAAGGTGCCCAGCTCAAATGCGTGATCCAGTGATCGCTCAATGGTTCTGTATGGATGTGCGAGAGGGAACCTCCTGAGTTGTTGTTTCTGTTAAACCTGCACACAATAAGATGGACGTATTTCCGAAAAAAAAGACCCGCATTTACGCACCTGAAAAACTCAATACAGCCCGCCCTGTTTCCTAGGGCAAGCACCGACGAATCAAGGATCGGAGTGGGTGTGATTCTATAGTCCGGTTGTTTTGACCAGGCAAGACCTTGACCAGGATGTCAGAGAATGTGTCATAATACATTATAGAGTCACACACTAGTCACTTGCGCTCGAAGAGTGTTACGAATGATATCCTCAGACGAAGCTGTGTCGAGTAACAGACCTGTAACATCTTGAATCTCCACAAACTTAGGACTCGGGTGAAGCAACATGAGTTACAGCTCTCACATTGGTCCATTCTCCCTTCAAGTGATTTTTAGCAGCCGTCCAAAGTGATACTTCAGCGTTTGAGTTAAGAATGGTTATTACGCATCTCGAAGATACATATCAGCTGCATATCAGACAAGCGGTGAGGGACATACCTTCCCCGCGATGTGAGATTACTAGGGGAGCATGCAACCCCACGAAGGGAAACATCGAGGGATCCGAGAGTAATAGCGCCCCAATCTTACCATCGTCGCAAGCCTCAAAACTAATACCGGGGAGCGGCAACCTCAGTCATATGCTTACCTTGACATATACTTGGCCAGATATGCGTCTGTCCACGAGCCGGCTCGATCATCGTCCTGAACCACCCGAGCGTCTGCTCCCCTTTCTCATCTCCTCGAAGTGCCTTGATATCGGGTGGTGTACTGAAGTTGATACCCGAATCTGGGGTCTGAATGCAAATATAAGGTGCCTTCTTCCACCAAGTTTGACAAAGAGTTCTTACCATGATATGCACGGTTGCCTTGGTGGTAATACACGCCTGGCCATCGTCTGACCATTGCAGGCACCTCTCAGAAGGATTTAAAATGACAGTGGTCACTGCCAGGGACGTGTAAATTGCCATCCTCAACACAAGATAAGCCAGAGACGCGTTGAATAACGATTAATGATATTCAGGCTTGTCGACGTCGAACGGCGTGATCAAAACTCATGAATTTAAAATCTTTCCTCGATTGGTCGGGACTCTGGCTAGCTGGGGAGACGAAGAACTTACATAATGCGAACTGATAAAATGATTATACAAAATCTCGTTGCGAAGCTCTCCAGACCCTCGAAGAACGTGTCCTTCCCTCCGTCGGCGCGTCCGCGTCAGCACAGAAGCGGTCGCTCCCATATGCAGATACACGATGTGGAACTGGTCACTGCGTAAACATTATAGACAATGCCCAATAGCGACGTGGCATTGACGCGGCATGCGGTCCCAGAGGGTTTGGTGTAGTACTAGGTCACACGATGTATAGACAGCGGCCAGCATGTTGGACTGTGAATTCAAATTTGGTACATAAACAAACTTGTTCCCGAACTACTACTACATAGTTCGGTTTAACGTTTGCACAGTTTCACTTGAACGCACTTCCCTGCGTATCGAGTACGATACCATGCACCTCCGCACGACCGGTTTTTATCATGTTCTACGAAAGCAAGTTCCTCAGCGTTCACCAGTCTTTGCGCGGAGAATAACGACAGCATCCTCATCTTCCCAGTCTTCTGCCCGCACTGCTATCTACGCAACGGTACTCACTGCTTCTGTTGGTCTGTTTGCAGTCTATTACTATGATGCGCGTTCCGCAATGCACCGTTATGTTTTGACACCTGCACTGCGTCATACATTCGATGCAGAAACTGGGCACAGGATTGCCGTCAAAGTCCTTCGTAGCGGACTGGGTCCGCGGGACCCTGTACAGGATGATGAAAGATTGCGGTCTGAGGTGTGCAATTACTTCATTCGAAAGCTGGCTCGAGTTACTCATAGTCTTTCGAATTAGTTTTGGGGGCGTGAATTATCCAATCCCGTTGGCTTGGCAGCTGGTTTTGATAAAGATGGCGAAGCTATTGATGGTACGCTTCCCTTTGACTCATCTATGACCTTGTACCGATGCAAGCTCATTAGGAATCCTTAATCTCGGCTTTAGTTGGGTCGAAATCGGAAGTGTTACACCAAAACCTCAGGTGGGTTTGCTGTGTCCGGTGGTTCTTTACCCATGTCTAAGTAACGTACAAGCCTGGAAACCCGAAGCCACGCGTATTCCACCTTCCCGATGACGCAGCACTCATCAACCGTTATGGATTTCCCTCACAAGGCGCTGCTTCCGTGATTTCCCGCCTTCGCGCTCGTATACCCAAATTTCATGAGACGAAAGACGATACAACTGCTTCCTTCAAACCCGGGTCAGTTCTTGCAATCAACCTAGGTAAAAATAAGTCTTCTTCGGTCGAGTCTCCGGATGATTTTGTCACTGGTGTGAAGACGTTCGGCCCATACGCTGATGTTCTGGTTGTCAATGTCTCTAGCCCGAACACACCCGGACTTCGGTATGGCCTTTACTATCATTTTGGCGTTAACTGACGACCCTTCAGCGGTCTTCAAAATCGAGAACTGTTGGAAGATTTACTTACAAGTGTTAAAAAAGCCCGAGACGAACTAGAACCATCGCCAATAACAGCACGACGACCACGCTTGGTGCTGAAAATCGCACCTGACCTGGAGGAATCACAAATTGTCGATATTGCCGATCTAATCCGCAAGAGCAATATCGATGGCGTCATCGTCAGCAACACTACAATCAGTCGTCCCGCAAGTCTTACCGATCGTAAGTCAATGTATTATCATTTGATGGAATCGCTCATCCGTACAATCTGAAACAGCCAATAAATCTGAGATGGGCGGTCTCTCGGGTGCTCCCTTGAAGCCACGTGCATTACAGGCTTTGAAAACGCTACGCGCACACGTCCCTGCAAGTATCCCACTGATAGGCTGCGGGGGAATTAGCACGGGCGCTGATGCATTGGATTATGCTCGGGCGGGTGCTTCATTGGTTCAAGTGTACACTGGCTTTGGCTATGACGGTGTAGGGACTTGTAGACGCATCAAGGACGAACTGGAGGCTCTGCTCAAAGCGGAAAACACGACATGGAAGGCTGTTGTTGATGAGTCTGTACGGAAGCTCAGTTTGACAGAGTCATGATCAGACTCAAAGGCCACAGCGATACTCATACAATAGGATCAGGAACTCACTGCTGGACCGGCTTGGAGAGCGGATGAGTGGGACTGATATGGCCGTTCGCAAACTGTACCATAGGAGGTCCTTGTTATATCCAATCCCATCTATTAGGGCTGAGCCCTATCTAGATAACCCATGTACCACGTGCAGTAGAGTGTTCAGTATGAAGACACAACTGAAATGAGGCCAGAATTCAAGTCAGTAGAGGAATGACTTCATCAACTGGGCTGCGTTGATCAACTGAGCTTTCCCTACTATTGTTGCATCGTTCACACTCACAATGCAAGGATGTGGAAAAAAGTCATTAGCACTCTAACTGCTTGACTCTCCTGGATGGCGCTAGAATGTTCTGTCAATCAAAACTATAAGGTGCACTCCGCGTTCTGCATGAGATATATCCATATGCATATGAGATCAGAAAAAAGTTTGAACAGAGTGAGATTCGAACTCACGCCCCCGAAGAGACCAGATGATAAGCTCATCCAATGAGCTGGTCTCCTTAGTCTGGCGCCTTGGACCGCTCGGCCATCTGTCCTTGAGGCAGGTCTCAAAATAGACCTACTTTGATAATAAGAACAAAGTGCAGCGCTTAGTCGAAGCATCCTACAAAAACTTGTGCAGGGCATAATAAATTCCAAACGAGCTGCCCGAGCGCTGCACCAAGCTGTCCAGTCGTTCTAGCGACACAGACATACCCTTGGTCTAGCGCGTAGTGTTCGTGCATATTGGCATATGATCAATTCCGTACGTCCCCCACCCTGTTGATTAAAGTACTATTCTTGAGACAGTCTGACCACTTCGCATCTAGTCATGGCCACGCGGGTTAACTTGTCAAGGACTTCGATATTTCAGACTTCGAGATTGTATACCTCTATGATATGTACACCCAATTTTGACTTCAATCTTGTATGTACCAATTTGTTGCCTCGTAAAGGGCACTAATAATGAAAATAAGTGGTCGTTCGTTCTGTTTTCGGAATAGATACTAAAAGCGTCGCAACGTTGTGTGTAAAGCAGACAATCAGATTGAGATCGAAATGTTGAGCCAAAGCGTAAATCTTACGGAGAATGTATAATGTATGTATGCGCAAGATAATATCGATGGTGCCATTGCATATGACACGCGTGAAGTGTTCGAGCCCGCCAGGTAGTCGACATTTGCGTTCATGACCTGATTTTGAAGACATACATTGATTTCTGACGCAGGTTACTGAACTGCCAATTAGTACAAGTAAAAGAAAGCTTTACATCACTTGTAATACAATGGTTGTAGATATCGTCACTCCCGTGACGAAGATGATATCACGTCAATACCACCTTACAGGCTACTCGTCGCTTTAGGCAAAATTGTTCTAATCGCGCTCTCGTTTAGACAGGTCGAAAAGGGTCGTTAGAATGCTGTCCATGTGCTTGTGTATACCGTCATGGAAACTCTGATTGGTGATGAGTTGTTCCACGTTGCCGATGACAGACGCTGTCTGTTGCACAAGACCGAAATTAACATACCTGGAAGGTGTTCATATGGGGGACAACGAGAGTGGTCAAAGGGACGTTGCTCACATGTCATCATAATAGCTATGGGGTCGGTATTGAGCCCAATTCATCAACAATCACATCCTCCACTCACGTTGCAGCGTTCACTTTTACTTGGTTCTTTTTCAGGACCTCTTTGTCATACAACATAGGCCAATCTTCATCGTAAGCGAGCAGTTCGGCGGCACCCCGCAACGGACGTAGATGATGGTAGTCTTCAAACATGTCGGGGAATATCTGTCGATGCATGGATTCAATCTCAGCATCTCAAAGACGCTGGAATGACCATGGACGTACCATCTCCCCCGTGAAGTAAATGGGGACATCATCGGACATGAGCTTCACTTTCCCCCAAACAAACCTATCGTTCTTCTGGATGACGCGATGTGCAGACCAGCTTGCCATCCGCCTATGACAGAAATGATCGGTTCGTATATGCCTCGTGGATGATAGGATCTATCCGAAACGCACCCTTGGCAATAGATAGGCTCGTGAAGCACTGCGTAAATTGGGTTGGTATCAAAGCTCTGTGAGTTCTGCACGCTGTCAAGAAGCCCATATGAGAGCTTCCCAAACGTATCCAAGTCTGTGATCGCTCGGAACACGAGTTCTGCGCATATGAATGAGCTCTCGTCGGCGAAATTGAAGCGAAACTACATACGGTGAACCCGATCGATGCCGCCTAAGTATAGAAAATGAAAAGCCACATTTTCGCAGTAAATCAGAACCTACCATGCGATCCGAATTGTATGCCAAGTTGTTGCCACCGCGAGACCGTGAGATTCCCGCCGTTCGGAATAACGACGTTGTTGCCTTCTAGGAAGCCTAGGATCCGACGAACCTGTAATTGATCAACAACCTGATAGTATAGACTTGTCCGAGTTTCTTACATTTCTTACATCCTGGGGATACTTTGAATAGTAAACCTTGTTTCGTTCTTCCACCTTCACTAAACAAACCGTCAGTTGAAATGTGGGCAGACGGCTAGGCACTTACAAACGAGGGCTTCGTAAACTACGTCGGGAGAGTCGACCAGTGGTGGGATACCGCCAGCGAGGAAGACCTCCTTCAAGCCATCACCGTGGAATGAAAGGTAGGTGGCGGCACAGAAGCCTCCGAAACTTTGCCCAAAGATCGTCCATTTACGTGCTTCAGGGTCTTTCTTGCCGTCGAGGAGAAAGTGCCGAATGGTCTCACAGTCTCTGACTATCTCTCAGATGAACACTGGTGACGCTTGGCGTTATGAGGAAATGCATACCAATATTATCTGCACGAAAGTGTTTGAGATACTTGGCAATCGCCTCGTCATCCATTTGCTTCGTTTGGAAGATGTCCGCCGTTATCGGCGTGCTCAGACCAGTCCCACGAGGATCGAGCCAAAGGGTCTGCGATTGTCAAATAGCAATCATGGACGAGGAAGGACTCGCGACACTGCTTGCCTGATATTTTTTCTTGTGAAGCTTGTCCATAGTAGTATATTTAGTCTCGCAAACATTCTTGTGTATGTAGACAAATCAACGTACAGCAGTCCCCAAGTCTACGCTGAAAGATAGGTCGACACCGAATCCTGGACCACCTGCACGACGCAGAAGTTAACCTCTGATCGCAACTGTTTGAGTCGTGATGAATTACCTTGCAAATACAAGACTGGTTCTCGCGAGTGAACATCATGCATGCAATGCTTGAAAGAATGGGGAATGACACACGATAAGGCAAATTCGACTCTGCCGCAGGGTCCGTGCCAGATTCCAAAGGGATGAGGTTGCGCACAAATATTCGGATATGGGGACCATCTGGTTTGGCGTAATCTACGGGCACAGAAAAGAACCTGTCGATAACCTTGATCGAGCCTGGGATTTTATTCATGAGCTCGTCTACTGATCTTGACTACGGCGCCACTGACCTTTGAGTATGTATGGTTCCAATTGTGTGACTTCCATGTTCATATTCCCGATTCTTCGAGTAGAAGCTTGGGTTAAAAGAGTGAACTAGAGACGACACCACGGTTCGGACTAACCCAGTCGGCCATTGTTATCTATATAATTAGTTTCCCAATGACCATGTCGAGGTCACACGGTTTGATTAATTTCGGTGAGTGCGTGTACGTCCCTCCTGCTGGCAAACATTGTACCCCGAATCGTGCATGTATACGAAAAAATTTGGGGCAGTTCACCATGATCAAGGAGAGAAAGGTCTCACTTGAAGTAAGTACTGTACTTTAGTGGGCTAGATTGTGGGAAAAACTATCTTGAGATATGTGACCATTCTTGCAAGAGACCACTCAAGTACGTGATATTCAGTCGCGATGATGTCTATATGAGTCGATGATCCGTTCCTCTGCTGCTCTCTTCTCATTTCCGCTATCCCAATGAGAAGCTGGAAACCGTCACGAGTGACTCACAGAAAGGATGTTGAAATGAAATGTTTATTCGGCAAGTGGTTTGTCACGTGCCGACCTGAGTTATAGGTGTATGTAGGCTTCGATAAAATGGTACTTACAGAACGGATTGATTTATGGGAATGCACGGAGCACAGCGAATCTACTGTCCACTGGACCAACAATATCGGAGCTAAATAGAACCATGGAAAGCAAGCAGGGGGGAGTCCTTGAGATATTCATCCCTTTTCCCATTTCCCAGGTATCAATGTCCAAGTCAGGTGAAGTCCCATGGATGCTCGTATATTATACTGTTGCACGAAGCAGCACATCTAGTAGACGTAGCAAGATGAGATATATTGCATGGTAACCGATAAACACTTTTCTGCCTTGCTACTTCCTTGTCTAGGGTCTGATTGATGCGACTTGGTTCACCATTTTCAGCCTCAATATCAAAAGTTGTAATTAATGAATAAGTGGAACATCGGACGTTCTTGAATTTCCGCTACTTCTTGCTGAGTGCCTGCAGCTGTACGAACTCGTAGTAATCTCCTCTCCGCGCAAGAAGCTCATCGTGGGTCCCAGATTCGCTAACTCTGCCTTCCTTGATGAAATGTCTGTAAAGTAGTGAGGAAGTGTTCATGAGCGCCAGCTCTCGATCAACTCACATGCAATCAGCGTTCTGGATAGTCGAAAGGCGGTGGGCGATAGCAATCGTGGTCCGACCTTTAGCAGCTTTATCAAGAGCATCTTGCACGACCTTCTCTGAGTTTGAATCGAGAGCTGATGTGGCTTCGTCGAGCAGAAGAACCTTTGGGTTGCGAAGCAGTGCACGAGCGATTGCTATACGTTCTAAATTGTGATTTCAGCGCACAAAGAATGGCACCTGTCAATGAATGAGGCATACGTTTTTGACCCCCCGAAAGCTGGGATCCCTTGCCACCGACTTGAGTATCGAACCCACTATTAATATCATACCAGTAAGCCTCGAGTCTGCGTAGTAATGAGGTCTTACTCTGGAAGTGATTGAATAAACTCTAGTATATTGGCATCACGGCAGACAGCCTCAATCTCTTCTTGTGTGACCTCAGATTCTGGTTTGGAGGCACCGAGCAAGATATTGAAGTGGACAGTTCCCGCGTACAAAGTCTGCAAGGCAAGTAGTCAGCTCTCTCCACCAAAAGGTTAACATCACGAGTGTATTCACAGGCTCTTGCGATACAAGTGAAAACTGTTGTCGATATGCCTGGACGTTAAATTCACTGATGATCTCCCCATCAAGCGATATCTGTCCAGAAAGTGGATCGTAGAAACGCTCTAGTAACTGGATGCTAAATGGACCTTCAGATGCCTATTCGAATGTGGTACAATTGGTAGACTTGCACTGTGCTTTTACCGCAACCGCTAGAGCCGACCAGGGCAACATAAGTTCCAGGTTCGACGATAAGCGAGAGGCCACGAAGAACCCGGAATCCGGGACGGGTAGGATAACTGAAATGAACGTTGTCCAGCTGTATGCGGCCTTTGAAATGCTGACTCGGAACACTTTTGCCTTCAGTTGACTCTGCATCAATCGTAGGAGTTGAATCAAGAAGCCTGATGATTGTGTTGGCGGCCCCTTTGGCTGATGAGACGTCAGGCACAAAAGCAAAGACATTACCGGCCTGCATTGCGCCAAATATGGTACTCTGCCAAAGTCTTGTTCACTTCAAAGATGTCCGGAGGTTGACGAAATGACTATACCATCAAAGCAATAAAGAATGATTGCGTTGAAATCTCCAGCTGCGAAACGAGCGTCGCGCCATACCAGAAAACTAGAGCAATTACCCAAAATGTCATGCCCTGAGAGAGTGCGAACAGCATGTTACTCCAGAGCGCTGTCCCGATGGATTTTCTAAGAGGCCCCTCCAAGCTCTGTCTGTAAAGACTAAGGCAGTGCTCTTCTCGGGTCAATGATGCAACAGTGCGAATAGCCGCAGCAGCTTCGCAGGCAATCTGAGCAGGGTTTTCATGCTCTGACTTGTTATTCTGATCTTTCAGAACAACGACTTGCTAAAAGGTGTGTAGCACAACGGGAGCTTATTATACAAGTGACGTACCAAGCGTATGAAGCCAGCGGACACCAGGACAGGGATACATGCTAAATAAAAACGAAATTTATGAGAGGAAGGTGCGCAACCGGAAAACAGGGCGCACCCATGCCGACAAGAGCCAGCTTCCAAGAATATGCAAAGCCAATGGCCAAACCAGCAAGTATAGTTGTGATAGATTGGACAATACTAACCAAAGTCAGTGATGTCATTGCTTCAGGAGGACTCGTATGCTCACGTTCCCAGAGTCACGCCAGCGAGACCATTGATCTTCTGGGGATTTTCGCTCAAGCTTGACGTCAGAGCACCAGTCTTACGGAGCCTGATGAGGGTTCTGCACAAGCTGAGAAGTTATGACTCACACTATTCTTGTCGTTGTCAAAGTACTCGACTGGTTTTATGAGTGGGAAAAATAACTTGGTGATCAAGGCACTCACTGTCTTGTCGGAGGATGGCCTTGAAACTCATTGAACGGAGCTTGGCTGTCAGAACAGCGGCAGAGGAAGCAAAAAAATAGGACTGGAAACCAACACAGCAGCCGTATAGAATAGCAAGAATGAAAAACCTGGCTCGATATAAGCACCAGCACGATCTCTAGAAAAACATGTAAACTCAACCAGAGAGCATTCCGATCGCCTTGGTAGCGGCGCTCAGAATTTGTGGTGGCAGAAAAGCCGGAGATCGAAAGCCCTACCGGCGCATGCCAGGATGAATGGTATCTGTTTTGTGTGATAACAGGACTTACCATAGATTATACCAGAGGCAGGATAAGCGGCACCACTGCCTGCGAAAACGTATGAGCGCAGCTGATGATGTGTTCTGCGAACTTACATATGGCAAAGAAAGATCCAATCAAGTATCGGTGAAGTCCTTCGCGGTAAAGACCACCAAGTCGTCTCATCAAATATAATAGACCATAGTCTTCCTCTGGAGTCTGGTCCCCAACTTTCTCCTTTGATTGACTGACGACGTCGATGGAACGAATGGTGCTCTTAATATCGAGGTCATCTGACCTAGGCTTCTCCGAATCTTTCTCGTCACTTGATATCACTGTATCAGGATCTTCACGACCCTCGCGGAGAGTTTGAGCTGTGACAAGACGATGGTACGCGCCTATTTTCGTCTGCTAGGAGTTCTGCATGAGTTCCTCGCTCCAGTACGAGCCCCTCGCCCATTACAATTATGCAGTCAGCATCTTTGATCGTTGACAAGCGATGGGCAATGGTGACAGTAGTTCGACCAGTAGATGCCTTGTCTAGAGCATCTTGTACAATCCCTTCCGAACGAGTATCGAGGGCGCTCGTTGCTTCATCAAGGAGCAAAATCCGCGGATCCGACACGATAGCTCGTGCAATGGCGATGCGCTGTTTTTGCCCTCCAGATAACAAAAAACCTCGCTCACCAACCATAGTGTCATATCCTTGTGGCAAGTGGCTAACAAAGCTATCTGCATTAGACTTGATACAAGCTGCCTTGATGAGCCGAAACTTTTCCTCGTCAGATGCATCCTCGTATGATGTGCCAATGAGACCGTGCGTGACGTTGCCCCTGACAGTTGTCGCGAAAAGTACGGGCTCCTGTGAGACTAGACCAATCTGAGAGCGTAACCATTTGATATTCAGCTCCCGCAAGTCAGTTCCGTCAAGCATGACAGAGCCACCGAGCGGATCGTAGAAACGTTCCGTGAGAGATACAATCGTAGATTTACCAGATCCGGATGCACCAACGAGAGCAGTGGTCTTGCCAGCCGGAAAGGTGATGTTGATGCCTTTGAGAATTGGGACATCTGGCCGAGATGGATAGTGGAATGTGACGTCCTCAAAAGTAATCTCGCCAGTGATATTTTCAGGCTTTAGTCCTCCTAGGCTTGCAGAGTCGATAACAGGGACACGCTCGATCGTAGCGAAGAGTTTGGCAGCAGCACCACAAGCACGCGTAATGGCTTGAGCAAAAGATTGAATGAGAACTCCGAATCAAACGTGAGATCAAGATTACCTTGCAATTCAGGGGCGAGTAGGGCGAGAGAGAATGATCCGATTAAGACGGCCATGAAGACATTGACAACCTGTCCAGCATTAGCTGCCAACCAATGTTAAATGTAGTTTTACGGTACAGAAACATGAACAGACCCTGGCCCTCATTTATGAGGGTAGTTCCAAAATCGAACGCCAGCGAATATGCAGCGTAGATTACGAAGAAGAGGGAGCCTAACCCTGCACCTTGCCAAATACTGGCTTTGGTGTCAACAACGCGAGATGCATCGACGTTAGTATCATATATTCCAGACAAAACTTTCTGGGTCCCGAAAGCCTGCGCGGTGCGAACCGTGGATATGACCTCTTCTGCAAGACTACCTGCCTCGGCAACATGCTTCAAAGACAATCTGGTATTGAACGAAGATCAGAGCTACAGGATGAGCTCACCAACAATAACACTTACTGCGTGTATTTAGACACAAACTTACTCATGACACCACCTATGATTGCGATGCACGGAAGAATGGATGACAATGCAAGAGCCAGACGCCATGACCGGGAAAATGCAAGGATAAAGCCAACGAGGAATGCGCTGACGAAAGTGACTGCAAGGGTGACTTTTTCAGATATCCCCAGTTGTACCAAATCTATTTCAGAGCAACGTGATTTCGACAATCCACCTTTGAAAAGTCCAGTACGACTTACGAGTGTCGGTTTGGATGCGCGTCGCAACTTCTCCAGCCCCAATATCATCAAAATAGGCGATTTCCTGCCTAAGGACGGCCTGAAGGTACCTCTCTCGTATTCTTTTCCCATTAACCTCTGAAGTATAAACCCAGGTGTACATGTACAGGTACGTGGAAATGAACATTGCGATACCTGGTACGAGTTCAGGTGGATTAAGTCTCACTCTTATCAAATCAAAAACTCACCAATATAAACGAGATCAGAAGCATCCAGGTTAGCACTGTGACGGAACGAGGATGCAGCAGCATCCAATGTCGCCTGCGCCTGTGCAATCACGTTCGCATCTTGAGACTGTAGCGATTGATAGTACTCGTTCTCTGCTAAACCAAATGTAACGAAATCTTGAGTCAAGTTGCCGAATATCAAAGTCATCAGAGGCTAGGATAGAAGATAAGGAGATGTAGCTCGCAAATCTGAAAACTCGCCTGCGAAGCGCCAGCAACAACAGCACAGAATACACCAAAAATGTTCAATATTATCTCAAAGCGAGTTGAATACCTGTTTCGGTGAACTATCACACTCAGTTAGACTCAGAAAAGTGGGATGATCTGACCGGAATAGCGATAAGAATGACGCAGGGACGAGTATATCCGCTGCCTTTGCGTTCTCGGCTTTGCTCTCCATCCTCTTAGATGCTTTCTTTGGCCAGGGGATAAACGCTCGGATGCTTTTTTTATTATCTTTTATTTCCAGAGCGACATGTTCTGGGGCTGTGAGCTCCTTTGAAAGGACAGGTTTGTTCTCATCGCCGGGAGTGGCTGGAAGGCCCTCCAATGTACTATGTGGCGCAAGTGGGGCTGGTTCTGCAGTCATGATTCTAGTGCAGCTTGAGCGGACAGCTTTGAGGAATCCATGCGTTTATCTAGGGTCACTACGGTTCCGACGGCGGCATGAACGAGCCAAGCTCAATGCATGACTGTGTGGGAACTAGAAAGTGGGGCAGTTCATAGGAGCCTGCGGAACAATTGATGATGGGGAACCTCCCGTCGCCGCGCAGTGCGGCCAAGTTTGCAGTTGTTTGCAGCCAGGGGCTCCTTCGCCCACCGTGTTGCGCTCGAAGGCACGGAACTGACAAGAAATTATGACTGTAAAATGTTGAACGTTGACTTTGACTCTGAGTTTTGCTGCAACTATATAAACGTTGATCATGACAAATAAAAAAGAAAAGGACAATATTTACTGGTCATCAATATATTAATAAATTACATGGGCCGATGTCTGATTTGATAACACAATTTCCAATTCGAATCAGCTTCGACATTTATTCACTGGCACCTCGTAACTGGTGTAGGTACTTACCTAGATATATAAATTTACTTTTGTCTCTCTGCAAATCATTAATTGTTTGATATTGCCATGACTCTCCGCCTTAGTAGGTGCTACCACATACATGGACGGTTAATTGCAGTTAATTGTGGATTGTTATGTAATGAGATGATAAGTTTGACACCTGGCTGTTTACAGTACAGTACTAGCAGTACTAGTAAGTGCTCCCGGTCGGTGATGTCCTCATAATCGCAATACTCGGGGTATCATTTGCTCATTGCTCAGACCTCTGTCTCCGTCGCCAAGATCAAGGAATGGTAGACTCATGCAACCCGTTGGGTCATTTTGCGCTTTCCATTTGTAGATTATCCCCTTTTGTGCATCTCGCTCCATGGGCTGTGCCCGGAGAGTTCTTTGGAGCAATGATTAAACGTCGCATAGCCCCTCTCGGGCATACCGTTGCAATAGCCGGATAGTATAAACAAGGTAACGAGCGGTCAAGTTCAACTTCTTTACGCACCACAGTAATCTCCCTCTTTCCTTCAAAACCGTGGCTCAGGCCCGGCGGTCCTCGAGGCCCATTCCATTCTACGACTGTGACTTACTGTCCAACAACGCTCTTGGTAGAGCCACCATCATGGCATTTAAACTGTCGTATTTCTTTTGGACTCCCCGGCATATTAAGATACCAGGGGAGATCAGGCCGGCGAGGCGCCAGAAGTCGGTACATTTGTGAGTATTATTGGCTCGTCATAGAATTGGAATAGCTAATAGTTTCATCTACATATAGTGCTGATATTCCTTCTCCTTGGAATAATCATCTCTCAGCAATAAGAAGGTCATTGGAGAGTAATGAATGAGGTCACCCAACCTGTTCGCCCTGACTCGGATGGGCTTTGGATAAATCTGGAGTGCTGTGTATCGTTAGATTTTGCGGAGGAGATATAGCCTGCGACCTTGGATGTGATTTATGTGTATAACAGGAGTCATCGTTATGCGTTGTGTCAATAGCGGAAGAGATAGTGTGTAGTACCGATCAACATAAGTATTATGGCAAGAACAAAATGCAATGTCAGTGATTTCTCCAAATGATTAATGTAATCAAAAGTGCAACACGGAAAACCAAGTCCCAGTAAGCATAGAATACAGGTCCCATAAGGACCGTAACTACCAAATATCCGCGTCCAAGTTCTCATCTGATAGTATCAACCAGCACTTGGGGAACCCGATAAGTTGTCGACAGATGCGGATGCGCTGTTGAACATCGCTTTTAGCGCCAGTTCATTCCTTCTCTGCCGCACTCTATCCACCTCTTCTGCGCCACCTGTCATTCGCAGTTTCTTGCCACCCACAAATCCTGTCAGTTCCTCCTGAAATTCGTCAGACCGGCTCGCGAGTTCTCGTTCCCGGTTTTTCTGGTTAGCCTCAATTGCTTTCATCCGTCGGTCCGGGTCCACCGCGGCACCCCGGATCTCCATCATGACAGTACTCAGGCCAGTATGCCCCTCATCTGCTGGAGGAGGCTTGAATCCGCGGCTTCTATTGTTACGTCCAGGGGTGGCGCCGCGGATAGATATGACCTTCTCAACATGCCCAAAGACATCCACCAAAGCTTTGTGGTCTTCGAGCAAATCGGTCAAGAATTCTTCTTGGTGACCGAGGAAGCCCTGTTCTTCTACAATGTTCTGCAGCTCCTCTTCCCATGTCTTCTTCCACATAGGCCTGACAGTGTCGATGTGCTCTTTGAGACTTGCCAGCTCCGTAGCAGTGGAAGCGATGTCCTCTTGGATCTGCTTTACTAGTTGAGGCTTAGGTGTCATGTGGCGCTTGAGGACGTCATCTCGGAGTGCTTCCACCGTGTCTTGCAACTCTTCCACCTTCGTCAGTACGTTCTGACTCCGTGAGTCCAACTTCGTCTTCCCCTGGTCTATGAAGCCACGTGCGCCACCAACTTTGACAGAAGCTAACTGCTTCACGGACTGCGTTTGCGTCCGCAAAGCACCCAATGAATCCTTCGTCGACTTCATGAACTCCGTGTACAGCTGCCTCATGATTCCTAGATCACGTCGCAAGTTCTGTACCTCGTCGAATTGCGTCTTCAAATCATCCACCACTCGGTTTGAGTACTCAGACATCACCGAAGCCCCCGTCATTTGGGGCTGTAGTTGAAGAGACTGTCCAGTCATCTGAGGTAGCATGAATGGACTGCTCGAGCTCACGTCACCCACGATGCGTGATAGCCTACGTGCGACATTATGCAGTTGCTTTTCGGATGGTCGATCTACCCTTGGTGTGCTTTCGACAAAGTCATGGGCGACGATAGGACTGATGTGGGACGACCGACGTTCGTTTGAAATCGTGGTGCGAAGTTCTTTGAGATCATTCGACAGCACCGATATCTGAGTGTCGATGTGTTGCTTGATTTGATCGAGTGCTGGAAAAATACAATAGGTCAGGATGAGAACACAGGGAGTGGGACTTCACTGACGTTCGATGTTGAGAGATAGTAGACATTTCTCCTTCACCTCCTCGATGTCCTCCAGCTCATACTGTACACCGCTAGAGGGGTCGCGTATGTATATCGCAGGAAAATTCTCCAGACCCGGATTATACGAGAATTTGTCCACGAATAGCATCCGCAACGACGATAAGGACAAACCAGGTTCGATGGTGACCTTCTTGACTTCTCGCCCAACTTGTAAGAAAGCCGAGAACGTGATCGGCAAAGTAGGTTCAAATGCTTCTTCAAAGATCGTAGGCTCGTCTGTCACGTTATCCGCCTTAGACAGCGTATGAACTTGTTGGGAGCGCGCGGGTTCTGTTAGTGGAGGCAGTGGAGGAACGGGAGGGGCTGCCTCTACCTCAGCCATGGGCGAGGGTGTTCGCGCAATTGTTCGGCTAGACCGCGTGCTGCCATTACGCTGGATATCCGGTTCATCCACTTCTGTTAGAACCGCCAAGTCCCCTGGCGTCAGCAATGGCCCTGCTGCCATCGACCGCCGGTTACCTGACCGCTCCCGCGAGCCTGTCATTTTCGTGATATTGTACGTCGAAAAGCGCTTCGACGCACGCCGCTCGAGTACGTCGCTCTTCTTCAACGCGGCCAGGGAGCTGGCAACTGCAGGTGCTTGCAGATTATCGATAGGATGAGTTTGTGGTGAGGAGGTCTCGATAGGAGTGGAAGGAGCTTCATCTACCAACACTGCAGGAAGTGGCGGAGGTGACAAGGAAACTGGTCTATCGACGAGCGAATAGCGCTTGACGGAGGCAGGCACGGGGACACTCTGAGGAGGTGTTTGAGGCAAATGCTTGTCTGACTCGCTGGACGAGGCATGATGTGGATTTGCTGCTACGGAAGGTGCGACCAAGCTTTCTGATGAGTCGCGCGAAAGCGCATCACCATCGGGCCTGTATGTGTTCTGTGATTGTCGTGCTCGAGGCTGCGCTGAGCTTCGATTGGTATGCCCATTGACAATGTTCGTGATCGTTCTTTCATTAGGGGGTGTTTCATCGTCAGGTTCGCGGAAGATGGGTGACGGAGATTCTGGCGGAGGTGTCTGCGTCCTTGGGTCTTGTCGTCGTGCTGACGATCTTGCTGATTGTCTTGACGTGCTGTCCCTATCCCTGTCCTGATCTCCTTCCTCTTCCATAACGCTGCGTGAAAGCTGTGACCGATGTCTCGAATCGTCATCACGCCGCGAAGTTTTGTCAGACTTTGACGAGCGACTGTCCGTCCGTGAGTGAGACGAGCGATGTCGGCTCTGGTGCTCCGACACGATCCGACGGTACATAGACTGCTTGCCGCGGAGACCCTGAAGGAGGTTGGTGATAATCTTGCGCACGGTGGGTAGATACACGTTGAGGTTGTCTTGCGTGGCCTCCTCTGCTAGGCAGGTTTCGAGGACCTCTCGTAGGTCTTCGGGCACGGACATTAGGTCTCTGTTGGGTTTTACTTAGCAGTTGAGGCTCATGTATACCTGCAGGCAAAGGCACGCACGACATATCGATATTAAATGCGGCAAACGCAGCCACAGCCGCGTTGAAGTCATTCCCGAGGCGGACGTAGACGTCGCTCACCTGGATCTCGTCCATTTTGCCGGTGCTCCATTGGGTGAGAGACTCTAGAAGTTGTTTGATGGCCACGAGAAGACGTGTGACGGCAGACTCGACTGCGGGCTACGACCTGGATAAGACAGTTATTACATTGTAGATAAGTGTACTCACATGTGCGTGCGAACGACTGCTACGTGAAGAGGATGAACTTGAGGAATGATTAGAGGCTATTGACTGGTGGTCACGCCGTGAGGTATGCCCCGTGTATGGTTGCGATGGCGGCGTTGACCTCGTTGAGGACATTTAGGAATACAAAGGAGGTCAGTGCGCGAGTAGAGGAGTATTGGCGCTTTATGTCAAGTAACTGAAGCCTGAAGGCCAGGAGTATCCAGATCGGCGGTCTTTCGCTTCCCTTTTCTGCCATGAGAACATATTTCCAAATTAAGCCGCTCAGTCGCATCAATAGTTGATTAAATGCACGGCTGGAACATGCCCCGACCCTTGGAACGGGAAATTTTGTTGCGTAGCGCGGTGTTACATAGAACAGACGAACTATCTTCAAAGTCGCCGATTCTTACGCTTGGTCATTGTACAAGTTTTGGGGATTAGAGAGTCATAAATGTAAACAAGATCATACTAAATGATGTACAGACCCGTGGCAAACACGAGAACATGGTCAGGCCACTAATTATAAATTACATCGTACATACCCCTTGCCCTACAATTCTACGATCGTGGGTTGAATAATGGTGCCCCTGGTCCAGCTAAGGTGTAGCTGTTGAGGATCTCATCTTTCTCTGTGCGCTTGTATGTTCGGATGGT